AAGTGGAAACATGAGGAGGGGAGAAAGACATTCCAACATAATAAGTGTTCAAAAATAGTTAGAATATTCAAAGACATACTTTGTGAAGCTACTTTCTGGCCATGAACTGCCTAACTCCAGGCTTCTTATATGTGGCACATAAACTTACACCTTATATGACCTAATCCTGACTGATTATTACAATATCATATTACAATGTAATATGACCAGTCTGTAATGCTGGTCTGATTATTACTGGTCATACCCATAATATGTTAAAAGCTCCTTCAAATAAATGAAAAAAACATAAGCAAGTCTGTAGAAAAATGGGCAAAGGAGACCAAGCAATTCACATACAGAAGAAATACAAATGTTCAATAAGTATATGAAAATATATTAAACCTTAATAGTAACCCAAGAAATGTAAATTTAAAAAACAAAATGCCATTTCTTATTTATGAGTTTGGCAAAAATTTTAAATATGAATTACATCTGCTTGGAAAGAATCTAGAGAAATAGGTACTCTCATTCAGCAATGACGTGAGTATAACTTGGAAAAGTCTTTGGAGGACAGTTTGGAAATAGCTATGAAAATTTAAAATGAATTTTTACATCTGCATGTGCACACATGCGTGTGTATGTGTATGTATGTATGTGTACAAGTATAGAAGTATAGAAAAAGGCCTGGGGGGCCGGCCTGTGGCTCACTTGGGAGAGTGCGGTGCTGATAACACCAAGGCCACGGGTTCAGATCCCTATATAGGGATGGCTGGTAACAAAGTCTTCCACATGCTCAGCTGGTCTCTTCTTGGAGCATGTTCATTGGTCAAATCCTATCACAGGCACCAGATGGGGGTGCCCAGAGTGACAGACCCATCCAGGTCAGGAGGGCCCTTAGTGGCAGGCCAGGTGAAGCCAAGCCAGGTTTTCCTTAGGTGCAGCTCAGGCCACACCAGGGGGGCCATTAGCAGCAGTCCAGGCCTACCCCTAGGGCCCCCTCTGCCCTGGCCTGCCACTAAAGATGGCCCTGGCCAGGCATGCCAGTAAGGGCCTCCTACCACTAAGGGCTGGCCTGGCTGCCCAAGGGACCCACGGGTAGGCCTAACATAGGCCCACACTTGACAGGCCTGTCCCAGGGCCCCCTTGGCCTGTCTTGGTGCTAAGGGGCCAGCAGAACAGTGCTTGGGGGACATTGGCAGTACAGACCACCACAGTGTGGGCTCTTGAGGCACCTATGGACAGCCACCAACCCTGAATATGCCTGATCTTGTCTGATCTCGGAAGCTAAGCAGGGTCAGGCCTGGTTAGTACTTGGATGGGAGATTTGAGCATTTATATATTCTGCAAAGATCTTAGTTTATTGGAATATTTTAATCATTTTCATATAAAATTCATAATGCTCAAAAAACTTATAAAGGTGCTGTTTTATACAAGAGCAATTCAGTATTACACCATTTTCATGGACAAATAATCAAGCCTCCATTTGCTCATCCTGATAATAATCACAATTGATACTGTACTAACGTTGGCTCATGCATGTTCTTGCCTTATCTTCTTTTAATTCAAAAGTTTTATATGATGAATATGCGGAGTGAATGGAATAGGTTCTTAAGGTAGAAAAATTTCATAGAACTAATATCTTTGAGTTTGTAATACATTAGTATGAAATAATCAACATTTTGCAACATACCAATACTGTCATCAGTAATTGCTATTTAGTTTCTTAAAACATAAATTATAAAATAATTGTATATAAAATTGTCAAATTTTTAAGAATCAATGTCTAATAAGTAACATTGAAACATAATTATAATTTATGTTGAAAAGCAATATTGAAGGGGCCGGCCCGGTGGCGCACTGGATAGTGCACCGCTTGGGAAGCGTGGCGGCGCTCCCGCCCGAGGGTTCGGATCCCACATACAGACCGGTTCCTGCTCACTGGCTGAGCGAGGCGCGGGAGCAACACCGAGGGTTGCGATCCCATTGCCGGTCCCCGGTCCGGTGCGGGGGCGACACTGAGGGTTGCGATCCGTTGCCGGACACGGAAAAAAGACAAAAGACAAAAAAAAAAAAGAAAGAAAAGCAATATTGAAAATAAAAATCAACAGAAACTAATACCAAGTTTTTTGTGTTTAAGTCATTTTATATCAATTATTTAATGAATTTTTTTATTCTTTCAAATAACATAAGTAAAAAGAAAAGACAGGTCTTTTTTGCTTTTTCTTTTTTTGCTAAGAAGAATTCTGAGTGGGTAGATGTGGTTAACAGAGTTCTAAGACCAACTAACACAATGAGAACCATTTCTTAACCCCAATCTCAAATAATGTACCTAATAATACCCAGCTTTCACCTTTTTATTGCTTTATTAAACTTAGTGAAGAAATCTGTTTACATTTTTAACCATTCTCTAAGATACTCTAAATCCTATCTTATTAGTCTTAAACACTTCCTTTTTTTTTTTTTAATTGGCAGCTGGTTGGTAAGGGGATCCAAACTGGTGAATTCGGTGTTACAAGGCTGCACTTTAACCAACTGAGCTAACCAGTCAGCCTTTATTAGTCTTAACATTATAAACTACTTCTACTAGATTAAACTCTTTACCTCACAAATCAAAAGTTTTGGTTCTAAATTTCTGCTTTTGGCCTATTAACGTGTAGGCAAATCATGGATTGGCCCGAAGAATAATAATTATATGTTATTATTGACAAATTCAAACTGATTTAAACCCTAAAGTATCAACGTTATTTCTCAGAAACTATATTTCCACACTTGATGTCACAAACCATCAAACTTAGGTTATAAATTCCACTGAATTAAGAAAAAATTCAAACACACTGAGAAAGTTTTGACACCTTCAAGGAAAAAAATTTTTTTGTGTTAACTAATGGGGACAATAGCAGACAAAAATATATGATCGGCACAACGGACAGAGAGTAGAATTAATTTATTGGATGGGATTGATTACTGAAGCTTCCTAAAAAATTAGTTTTACTTTCTTCTCTCTAAAGCCAAAAGGGGCTTAATATTGTTCTATTTGTTTATCTCTAATACTTATAAATAGTAGGATCCATCAAAGTAGAATTTTATGATTACGTTAATATATGATAGATTAAAATCTGTTCCAAGAAGGCCAGATTTTGAAAAATTCTGTAGCACCAGGAGGGAAATTTTGTTTATTTAGGTGTAACACCATGTGGTCATGTGCACCTACCCCACACATTTTTCAGGCTGAACTAATAAAAATTTGTAAGGTTCAGGTACAATTATTTTATAATTCCTCAAAAGTCATAAAATTGCCCCAATTTTCTCATATAACCTAAGATTTGCCTTTTGCTTTACTCCTTGTCTCAATCCTCTAAAAATCATTTACACTTATCATTTCTTGTCTACGGCCATACCACCCTGAACGTGCCCGATCTCGTCTGATCTCGGAAGCTAAGCAGGGTCAGGCCTGGTTAGTACTTGGATGGGAGATTTGAGCATTTATATATTCTGCAAAGATCTTAGTTTATTGGAATATTTTAATCATTTTCATATAAAATTCATAATGCTCAAAAAACTTATAAAGGTGCTGTTTTATACAAGAGCAATTCAGTATTACACCATTTTCATGGACAAATAATCAAGCCTCCATTTGCTCATCCTGATAATAATCACAATTGATACTGTACTAACACGAACAAGAAAAACAAAATTGAAAGAATGTGTCCTGTCCACATATAAACCATAAAAGTAATGAAATAATTCCTAATTATTACTACAGAACCTGTAGTTCTGTCTTTTAATAAAGTATTTCCTTGTATTCTAGGTAAAAATTCCAAATTTTTAAGCACAAAAAAAAGCATTCCATTTTCAAAAACAGAGATTTATGGCATAATAGTGGCTACCATAGCCACAAGAATATTTGACTTTTCAAAAGCTGATTTCTAAAATCTTTTCCTGCAGCATTGTCTTAAACAATTCAGGGCTAAATAGAATTGCAATTTCATTTTCATTTTACTTTAAAATGTACAAATGTCACTCCTCTAGTCTGGTGAACTTAAATCCTTGTTACAGCTTGGTGTGTTTATTCGCGTGCTTTTTTCCTAGTTGCCACCATAGTTGTGTCCTCTGGAGCACTACTTCTCTGCACGGGGGCTGTGTACATTTGGCCCTCTGTTAATAGTTACTGGCTAGAATAGCTTTGAACATTTCATGCTAGATTTTTGCTTTTGGTCGTCTCTGTGAAAGCTGAGTTAAATTGGAAAGTGAGAAAATGACTACATATGTTGCATGTTGATAGGTCTCTTAATGATTTTTACAGATTTTGAGAAAGTAGAATTTGCAAAAGTGGTCAAAAATGAATTTTGCAAAAATATTTAATAGACATTTTCAATATCTATTCCTTGTGAAATGGCACTGAGCTAATATTTTTTTATTCAACATAAGATTCACAGTGGCAATTTTAAAAATGAATTATTGTTATTTTGGATAATACTCAGATGTTATGTGGTATATAAAACACTATTCTATTAGATTTGTTTGTCTAATAACATGGAAACTTAGATTTTATTGTAGTTACCAGTTTGCCATAGGAGGATTCATTTATATAAATCTTTACCAATATGTTATTATTTATTTTTACCTCTAAAGTTAACAGTGAATAAAAATTCAATTTGTTGAATTAAAGGGAAAAAAAACCCCACATCATGTTTAGAAAACTTCTACTGGACTCAGTTATCTATGTTAAAGATTAAATAAATAAAACCACAGGACAATAAATCTTGAAAAGATTACTTACTTTCAGTTCACTATAGATAATTTCTAAGACATTGTAATGAAAATGAAAATGAAAATGCAATAGGCATAGATTATATAACAATTTCCGTCTTCTTGAAAATTTTTCTAAAAATACTTCCATCTACTGTCTCTTAAGCTTTTGTTTCTATTGCTAGTCATTATCCAACTAAGCATTTGCAAATATGATACATAATTGACATTTTTTTGAAAGGTAAATATATAAACAAAGTTAGCAGTAGTACACGAATTTTGCTTCCTTTCTCATACCTATGACAAGAATGATTTTTGGTCGAGGTCTAGTAGGATCAAAAACCTCATACTCCTCAATTAACTCTGCAGTCTCAGAGAGATCCGTGTCACTTTCTATGGAGAATTGATGGATTGGAGGGAGCCGATCATACCGCCGATATGGAAAGTTTGAATTTTCAGGCATTACTGCAAAAGAGTAAGATAACTTTGAAAAGGAAAAAAAAAAAAGCCTATTAAAACGCTTTTTAAAATTTAATCAATTAGTAGAAGAAATTTAAAGACTAAATGAGTTTGATTTTTTTTCAAATGGAAGAAGACTCTGTAAGTGGTCAGCAAACTTTTTTTAAAAAAGGCCGCATAGTCAATATTTTGGTCTTCAAGGGTCATGATAGCATGAAAGCAGTCATAGACAATACTTAAACAAATGAGTATGCTTGTGTTTCAATAAAACTTTATTTATATAAACAGGTGGACTTGGCTAAAATTTAATCAATTAGTAGAAGAAATTTAAAGACTAAATGAGTTTGATTTTTTTTCAAATGGAAGAAGACTCTCTAAGTGGTCAGCAAACTTTTTTTAAAAAAGGCCTCATAGTCAATATTTTGGTCTTCAAGGGTCATGATAGCATGAAAGCAGTCATAGACAATACATAAACAAATGAGTATGCTTGTGTTTCAATAAAACTTTATTTATATAAACAGGTGGACTTGGCCCAGGGGCTGTAGTATGCCACCCCTGCTCTAGTGAAAACTTCTCAGATATTGCCTAGTATTGCTTGGTAGGCTGTATACATCCTGGCATCTGCAAATGGTGCTCCATGGAGCTGTCTAGTACATATCCTTCACTACCATATGCAGCTGCTCATTGAACCAGTGCTTATGCATCATGTGTTTCATTCATTCCACAAATAAAGATATGCATTCACTATCATCCAGGAACTCTAGTGTGGGCCAGAGGAATGCCTTGGTGGTGGAATGAACCAAAAATTATGGTACTGTCACAAGCCAGGTAGAAGGGTACAAACAATTTCTATATTTAGAATATCTTTCAACATCATTTAATTTTACTCTCATAACATTTATTATCTTCAATCTACTTAATTTAAAAATATAAATATGAAGATTTAAGTTTATATATAATAGCAAAAAAATTTGCCATTTATTGCCAGACATTTTAGTGTACTGAGTGTGATTTGGTAGAAGAATAAGATGTAGTCCTGTCCCCTCAGTGCTTACAAACTAGATCTTATATGCTCATATCTGATAGCTGTATGCATATCAGGCAGGATAAGTGCTAAAAGGAATATCTCTCATGGTAAACACAACAGGAGTTCAATGAAAGGGTGGATTCATTTGGAATGAAGTGGTAAGAAAGGACTTGTGAAAGAGACAGGACCTGAACTTTGAAAGACAAGTACAGGTAATGGAATGTAGAAAGTAAATTCCAGTTGGTGGGAACAACACAAAGATTCAGAGTCAGAAATACAAATGACATATTCGAAAGGACCAGAAGACAGCTGGCAACAAGGGCACAGGGTATGTATTTAACACTGACCAGATTCCAACAGTATGACAATACCCTGGGAAGTAAGTTAGCCGTGTTGGGAAGGTGTATGAACTGTTCAAGCCCACTAAAATATTGTTTTGTTCTCCAAAGCAGTAATGCACTAAGTGTGCTGCAGCAGTAACTGGCTAAGGCACTCTGGTGGCTTGAGGGTACCTGCAGCCCACAGAGCAGCCTATCTAAGCTGCATCCACACAGTTTGAATTGGAGCCCTAAACTCCAATTCATTCACTTGCTACTCTCTGTATCCTAGGCTGTTCTCACTGAAACAGAAACCTCACTGATTTACAAAGAGTGAACTTTTCAACTTGGGACTCTAATCTGTTATCAACTAGAATCTGGGTCTACGAGTAGACTGAATGAGAAGAGTAAAAATCTATTTATAT